AGGTTAAACTATTTCTGGTGTTCCATAATCTCTTAATTTTCCCCTGGAACATATTTTTCTGTCATGGTGCCTGTACATCAAACTGAAACAAAGCACAGTCTATCTGACTTCCTTAACGGTTATGAACCCTATACTTCTATAGCTGAACATTAATTTGTTTGAAAATGAATTTATGACATGTCTGCGTTCTGCGAGGCTGATCATACTACTTGGCCTGGATGTCTGGAGACTGACTAAATTACCATGCAGTGTTGACATGATGATTAAAGTGAAATGAGCGTGTTGTGTAGCAATCAATATCTATATCGTTTCAAACTAAAGGATAAGGAAACAAAACAAGAGAGAAAAAACTGTCGATACTTTTTAGTATATTTGGGTCAAGTGTCTTACACATAGTCACATTCTTAAACTAACCCTTCAAATAACAACCGTATTTCATATCAGAAAGCATCCTTTGATGAATCTTTTATATGTTCTAAATAATCAACTATATTAAAGACAGATAAATCGTTTTGTCTTTTTTATCCATTAAAAAATTCATTCGAATGAATTTTCAGTGTTAGCTAGACCTAAAGCAACACATCATGGTGCATCAGAACAAATGGAAAGATAAAAAATACATTTGAACAAAAACTGAATGTTTTTAGTGTCAACCTTGTCGTATATATCATCTGTCATCTGTAAAAGGCTGTAGTCACTGCAGTACCACCCAATCTTTATAAATAGGCCGATCTTAGCAATAGATCATGATGAAGTCCATAACCCCACCATTCTGGAGAGAGTTATCAGATAGAAAGCTGTTAATTGAAAAATGGATCTTACAAGTGTTGGATCTGGAATTAAAACGTGAAGATTGTTATGGAATTACTGAGAAAAGGGGATGAAAAACTTCATGTAAAGTTTAAATTGTCATAATATTATCAGCGAGTTTGGTAAATCACCACATTGATATTAATGTTAAATAATGGGGGAAAAAATCAAGTTTTTAGACATTATTTCCTATGGATGGCTGTCCTCTGAAGACGGGGTACAAGTTGGAAACATATCTCGACCTGATTGTGTGATATTTTGGGACCATTTGATAGCTGATGAAAATTGATTACGTTCTAAAATGGTACAGTGATGCAGGCATATACGAATGTAACCGAAATGCATATTCAAATGAATATCTTATCCAACCATGCTGGATGTTTCGTTACTACTGTGTACATAATAAATAATTGCTTTATCAAATTTTTAATCCCATATTACAATAAAGATATTTTTGTGGCAACATTTTTATCAGATTACGAATTAGACACGGTAGGCACTCGTGAGTATTCACTTCAATTATAAAAGTGTTATTTGATACCATGCCTTTCTTACGAAATCTGGGCCACTGCAATCACACAAGGAAAGCGTTTGTGAGATACATTTTGCAAATGCCTCTTGATTTCATTGAAAAAAACCTTAGTGACATGTTTTCCTATGTTTATCAAACGTAGCTTTTTGGCTGATTGTTACTGCCCTGGAGCTAAATCCGGATCACTACAGTTTCGCTATGAGAGGTTAGCGTGTTAATATATATGAAAGTACAAATATCTCGGTGCTCTCATTTTCATTGAAAAAAAAACATTTGTGGCGAACAGGTCTACAATAACTGGCCTTCTAATCGTTTTGATGACATGACGTTATTTCTTGCTTATTTTTTATCTAATCTGCGTCAAGTCGTTCTTATCTTCATACTTTGCCTTAGTTTTATAGAATTTGAATTATCATATTTTTCGTTTAAAAGTCTTAACCTAAACCACTCTAATTTTTTTATACTTTGGATCGATTCTGTATATACATGTATTGTATTTAAACTGTTCTATTTTTATTCTTAAATCACTTTTCAAATCTCTCATTATGATGGTCATACCTTGTCATTATTTAATTGATTGTTTGTTGGCAATTTTTTTGGTTTGACATCAGGCATTTCTTTCCACTAATCTGTGTGGACAATGTTGAATAATATACGGTGTTATTCACTTACCTCTTCAATGAAAAGATATTCGTCACAACTGCCATAACTAGTCTCGTGTATAGGAAAATTAAAGCAAATCAAAGACGTGATATATCATTTGTGTACATTAACCGGTTTATTTTGGTATTATATTTGGATATAGGTACATCAAATGCCCATAATGATGACAACATAATGATTTATATACATTTATTTGTGTACAAAAAAGACACCAAGTTCGATCACATTTCATGCTGGTGGGCGGCCACATTTCTGTTAATAATTCAGGCAAACGCTTCCATTTTAGTTTCAAACGATGTTGTAACATATGTAAATCTTAACATCGACATGTAATTATATCAATTTGGTATTCAATAATATCAGGGACGTAAAATACAAATCTGTATTATACGTCCCTGATAATATGTATTGTTTTTTTCAATTTGACAAACTAAAGTTTTGAAGAAAGATGTACCGTATATCATATTATGAATTACCAACATTTAAGATTATTATAACATTTGTCATATCTTCCATAACAATTTGTAAAGTAGTCATTTTTATAAATTTGTTTTGTTTTGAAAATGTCTATTTGAGAATTATACATGAAAAGGGAACGCTAAGAGATAAGTACACACACAAGACTGTAGACATGATAAACTTTGTTCATGGCCTTTCAGAACATTACTTACGTCGATTCTTTTTTAATAGTCTCCAAGTCATCGTGTACAGTAATAAAATTTCACCCAATTTTTGAGTTTGTAAATATTTCAAGTATGTATTTAAAGGCACATAATCTTTATCCATTATACTAAAAGATAGATAAATAAATCAGTTACATGCGTGATTCATGAATTAATATCATCGGTTATTTTTTATACATACATAATTCTTGATTATGATGATAGACTACACAAATTACAAAAAAGCACTCAAAAGAAAAGAATAATGATAAGCTCTCTTGACGTTATGACGTCACAATAAAAAACAACAATACAAATTGGAGAGATAAATAATTCCTATCATCCCGCTGGTTTGATCTTTGACATTGTTTACTTATGAGCCCTTAAAACATCCGTCATTTCTTAAAATTCAAAGATGCTACAAAGCGACCTTAACGAGGGACAAATTGATATATTGCTCTGAGCTTGGCTATGGACGGCAGCCCAAGCCAGACGGTTTAAATGGCCGACGGCGCTTTGGATTTGACAGTCTGAAGTAAGACGTCGATCACAGCTTACTGTTTGTAAGGTCTCTCACGTGGCTTTATAACGGAAGACGTTTTGTGTAAGGACATGAACTTCTATCTATAACGCTATATCTAGTTTGTTTTGAAGTTTGTTAAATTGATATTTTAGATAGAAGTACGTTGCAAGAATATTAATCAACACATATGTATATTAATTATTTAACCATTGTATGATAGTCTGTAACGTGGTACACATTCAGACCAGCTATTACACACGATCCAGTAGCAATCGCTATAAAATAGATACATATCAGACGTTAAATTATGTAGACCTATCTTACGTTAAGACTATGTTTCGATTTGTTTTTGGGCCAATTTACCATTTTACCTACATCAATATAATAAACAATGATATAGTTACCTTATTTACAATATGTAAAACGCACGTGCTGGTGATAATTGAATTCATTACAGCTACAGCTACATAGAAGCATGATAGAACTAACACATTAAAATGATTCAGGCAATAGGGGGTATGAATAACGTAGATCATGTAGTCATTCATCTTAATTAATTTACATTTTAATATGTAAGATATCAACAACACTGTTAACAGTCACTACATCATAATTCTATCATGTAGCATTTTCCAAGCCACATATACAGTAGCTGACAACTTGTACATGATTCACTATGAAATGAAATAATAATATAACGTATGTCAAAACAATACAACGGAACCATCTTTGTATTGCTTCCAGATATTTTGGTAGTCCATCAGCTGTATACATGAACTACACAAGCAACTCATTGTTATCTTTTAGTGTATTGATTTTTAATAAGAAAACTTTATTATGCACAGAAACGAAAATGTTCTCCATAAATATTTTATCAAACCATAAAATTCGATATTCTTAGGAATATCAAGGTTAAACATTGTATTCCACTTCAACAATGACAGTAGAAATGACAACTTGAGAGTCTGATTACTAATACACGTGTCAACAAACTATGGTGCTGGTAAGACAAAATCTTGACCTCGTTGTGAGGTCATCACCGGTCTAGAGAAACAGCCCTATTATATCTATAGACATGTAGCTATTAGATATGCAATAAATGTGTACTTTTCCCAAAGATTATCTGTTTATTATACATATTGTCATACAAATTACTGATTTTTTTACTTTATACTGCCGAACCAAAATTCTCTAGCCAATTTACATTTTACCCATGATCTGTGCAAACAGTAAAGTACTAAAATAGAACTTGAGGAATGTATTTCAGCGACATTTCTAGCAGCCAGTTCTGTCGTAGAGGCGTCAGAAATTACCATGCAGCACGCTATTGCTGCAGCTGCAATTCCCAAGACAAAGATACAACATGTGAAGATTTTCAAATCCCCCGATTTTCCTAAAAACATACTGATACGAGTGTACTTTCTTTATAATGTTGCACTTCCTTAGAGCGAACTGCAACCACCATCACAAGACCTCTGGCATTTTAATTACACAGTGGAGTTTCAGAACAGACATTTCGTTGCTTCGCCTGTCGCTACTAAACCTAGCAGGATAAAAAACATTATTCGGCAAACATGCTTAAGTAGATTAGTGGCTTATACTTTTGTTTCAAGAAGCATTACGGCAATATGTAACAATATGTAATCCTTTCAACAACATGCTTTATGGTAAACATTCCCGATCAACGTGTTAACGGGACGTAAAGCCATACTTCACATTCATCAATCCAAATACAATCGTATCTATACATTTCTGTTTAAAACACAATTAAAAAACATGAAGCAGATGATATATGTTAAAAGGTACTTACTATCTGCTGCCCAAGTCTGCTCTAGGATTCCAAGATTTAAGATGAAAATCAATCCTAGGTCGACAAGATGCCGGTCGACCTTCCACATAGTGAGGCTTGAATGTGAAACTTACACAACCCCAACTGCGCAAACAATTAACTTCAAACTTCTATTCTATATACATATCACACAATCGAATATTAATGAAAAGTCGATATTTTCTGTCAATTTAACGTTCAGTAACGTAATCCAACCTTCTGAAAGAATGAATGTAAAGTTTATCGAGGCAATTAGAATTAAAACGTCGCCGCCCCTTGTCCCAATCGTCCTGCGACACGCTGCTGGGACTATCACTTACTACGGAGGGCGGCCCACGTTGTCGTTGTGTGTAGGATAACGTAGAATGTATATACATAAAAAACACTTGTCCGCAGCGAAGATTGGAGTATGTCCGTATCTGTTACTCAGAAAAACAAATAATTAGACAGTACCACAAATTAGGAGTTCATTAAACAGATCCGGTTCAGACAAACAAATGAAATCATATTTAAAAAGTACATATGACGTGGGTTAATTAAACAACAGACGAAACGACACGCCGTTACGGTAAATAGCCCTGTAGAATCCTAGACATATACCACGCATTGCATGTTATCGTGCTCACATTTGTGTCAAGTCCAATACCACTTTCCAATTATTGAATTTCTTTCATAATTTGGAAACACATCCTCCGACAGTGTCGTACACATACATTTAGCATCTCTGGGAACAACGTCTTCAATTTTTGATGCATAGAAAGCTTATGTAATTTACCATATATCATGCGTATCGACTATTTGGAATAAAATGAATGGCCATGTCCTAGATATATATAAAGCCACTAAACCTCATGATTGGATGATTAATGATGACAATTGATTTTATAAATGATGATAAACATTATTGACAAATTTAACCTTCGGCATATGTGGTTATAATGATTTTTATAAAAGCAAATATGAGAATATTTATGGCAGGTCTAAAGCTATGAAATGTCACATATTAATCACGTCGGTCGGGCATTTTATAGGCCAACGCTTCAGGTGTATTTCCCGGTATTCCAGTATATATACGTATATATACAGTCACCACCAACATAGTGAAGGCAGGATGCGCGCGCATCCACAAGGCCAACAGAGAAGTCAATGTTGCGTAAAACAGTCGTTCTGCTGGTTGATTGATTACCTAGAGCAGATAGTGGTCGAGGTGACAGGTTTGCAACGACGTTTCCTCGTCAAATTGTGATACGTATGTTAATAGTCTACAACACAATCATTCCTGGCGCTATCGATATGTTTTGATAAATATTATCATTGATTCCAAGAGCGATTTTTTTCTTCCAACGAAACAATGTTATTACAAATCTCAAATGTTAAGGGAAAACAAAACAAAAAAAAAAAAAAAAACGTTCTCATATTAAAATAACAAAATTAAACAAAAACAATTTCAAAAGCATGACAAACTTTTAAAAAAATTAGATGTCGCATTAATACAAAATATAATTCGTGTAAAACTTGCTACAGTGGCCACACACCATATATATAGCTTATATAAATCATCAATTAAACAGCCCCTAAATTAATAGACAAAACCTGTTAATGGGGAATCATAACAACAAACGTTTCTCTAGTTTTCGTAATGTTAAAAAAAGGTCGGAAGTGAAATTCCATCCCGATTTCTTCATCAATAGCTTTCACAAGACGTTTACTTATTGAGCCTGTTTGTATTGACGTTACTATCCAGAGAATGTAAATTCACAATATGGAAATTAAACCCACCACACATATAGTACAGCTTGGTAGAAAGCTGTTCATGTTGGTTGCATTGTTGGAAAATATCGAGATAAGCGGCTGAGGTAGAAGGGCGGGTTTCATTGATTTCCAATTCTGGTGGGTTTATACGACAAGACAAGATGTCATGGATATATATGAAAGTGAAACTGAATGTATTTGCAATTTATTTGTGATCTGTTTATACGACAAGACAAGATGTCATGGATATATATGAAAGTGAAATTGAATGTATTTGCAATTTATTTGTGATCTGTATTGATAAGCTCTTCAATAAATTAAAACAAAAAATGCAATCATATTGCCTTGTATCATTAACTCTGCATCACAAGGAATAATATTTGAACTTTAGGATATAATTTACATACATTGAAAGGGTTTGATTACAATTTGGTAAAATAGGTAAATAATTTATGCTGATAGCTAGGCTAAATCGTAATTGCACTGCCCGAGCCTTTCCAGCAGTGGCTCCGTTATCCATCATTATGGATTTAGCTTTCCCAACAAATGGATGATACGGAGAAATATACAAATGAAATACAATGCCGTTTCAAAGGTACAGATAGGTTGGGACTTTATTTTGGTCATTGTATGCCGATAATCATAAGGAACGAGACATTCAACAGATCCAGCTTTACTTTTTTAAAAAAACAAATTTAAGTTTCCGAGACATTCTCCAGATCGGGACTAAGTAACTATGTTGAACTAAGGATTGCAACGCATGGAATATACATTGACTGAACTTGATATTTTTTAGAGAATTTTTTAAACATTGTCTGAGATAACTGATATTATTGACGTATTTACATGGTGCATTTCCATTCACGATGCCGAACCTATGTATCTATGTTACTTCCCAGTACCAGTCTACGATGTACAAAACTGGCATCTACCGATAGAAATGTCTTGGTGAAAATAAAAATAAGAAACGGACATTCATCAAACTGCTCGAAAATACAAAATCATCGAAATATTGCCCACAATTCAAGTCGTTCACTGAAAAAAAAGTAAAATTTCATCCCGATTTCTTCATCAATAGCATTCACAAGACCTTTTACTTACTGAGCTCATTTGTATCGATGGGTAGCAGAATTGGTGTATAAAATAAATATAGAAAATTTCTCGATAATGAAAGCATGCGATAGGATTCATATTAAATATGAATCTGCCCTTCTTACAAGTTTTCATAAAAAGTGTGCTTATGTCAACAAACAATCCACAGTTTCAGATTTTCTCTTGATTATACAAGTATATTAAAACAAATCTTCCTATTGCAAAAGGTGTTCTGGAAAGTTTACATTATATTTGGATTCAAGTTAATTTCATAATATTCAAGGGCTAGTTAGAAAAGATTATGGTGCTTGTAGGATTCCCTAATTCTACATAATGATGTTTATCTCAAGGTGAATGATGAGAGATATTATCTATCAAGGTAAAGGTGTCTATCTTTATTGTTACCTTCACCTCGATATAAAAGTAAAGGTGTCTATCTTTATTGTTGCCTTCACCTCGATATAAAAGTAAAGGTGTCTATCTTTATTGTTGCCTTCACCTCGATATAAAGGTAAATGTGTCTATCTTTATTGTTACCTTCACCTCGATATAAAAGTAAAGGTGTCTATCTTTATTGTTACATTCACCTCGATATAAAAGTAAAGGTGTCTATCTTTATTGTTACCTTCACCTCGATATAAAAGTAAAGGTGTCTATCTTTATTGTAACCTTCACCTCGATATCAAAGTAAAGGTGTCTATCTTTATTGTCACATTCACCTCGATATAAAAGTAAAGGTGTCTATCTTTATTGTTACCTACACCTCGATATAAAAGTAAAGGTGTCTATCTTTATTGTTACCTACACCTCGATATAAAAGTAAAGGTGTCTATCTTTATTGATACCTGCTAGTTACCTTCACCTCGATATAAAAGTAAAGGTGTCTATCTTTATTGTTACCTCCACCTCGACAAAAATTAAAAGTGTCTATCTTTATTGATACCTGCTAGTTACCTTCACCTCGATATAAAAGTAAAGGTGTCTATCTTTATTGTTACCTCGATATAAAAGTAAAGTTCTATCTTTATTGACCTCGATATAAAAGTAAAGGTGTCTATCTTTATTGTTACCTTCACCTCGATATAAAAGTAAAGGTGTCTACCCTTATGGTTACCTGCTAGTTACCTTCGCCTCGATATAAAAGTAAAGGTGTCTATCTTTATTGTTACCTTCACCTCGATATAAAAGTAAAGGTGTCTATCTTTATTGTTACCTGCTAGTTACCTTCACCTCGATATAAAAGTAAAGGTGTCTATCTTTATTGTTACCTTCACCTCGATATGAAAGTAAAGATGTCTATCTTTATTGTTACATACACCTCGATATAAAAGTTAAGGTGTCTATCTTTATTGTTGCCTGCTAGTTACCTTCACCTCGATATAAAAGTAAAGGTGTCTATCTTTATTGTTACCTTCACCTCGATATAAAAGTAAAGGTGTCTATCTTTATTGTTACCTTCACCTCGATATAAAGTAAAGGTGTCTATCTTTATTGTTACCTTCACCTCGATATAAAAGTAAAGGTGTCTATCTTTATTGTTACCTTCACCTCGATATAAATGTAAAGGTGTCTATCTTTATTGCTACCTTCAACTCTATATAAAAGTAAAGGTGTCTATCTTTATTGTTACCTTCACCTCGATATAAAAGTAAAAGTGTCTATCTTTATTGTTACCTTCACCTCGAAATAAAAGTAAAGGTGTCTATCTTTATTGTTACCTGCTAGTTACCTTCACCTCGATATAAAAGTAAAGGTGTCTATCTTTATTGTTACCTTCACCTCGATATAAAAGTAAAGGTGTCTACCCTTATGGTTACCTGCTAGTTACCTTCGCCTCGATATAAAAGTAAAGGTGTCTATCTTTATTGTTACCTTCACGTCGATATAAAAGTAAAGGTGTCTATTTTTATTGATACCTGCTAGTTTCCTTCACCTCGTTATCAAAGTAAAGGTGTCTATTTTTATTGTTGTCTTAACCTCGATATAAAAGTAAAGGTGTCTATCTTTATTGTTACCTTCACCTTGATATAAAAGTAAAGGTGTCTACCCTTATGGTTACCTACTAGTTACCTTCGCCTCGATATAAAAGTAAAGGTGTCTATCTTTATTGCTAATTCACCTCGATATAAAAGTAAAGGTGTCTATCTTTATTGTTACATTCACCTCGATATAAAAGTAAAGGTGTCTATCTTTATTGTTACCTTCACCTCGATATAAAGTAAAGGT